TGACCATTTGAATGTGGGGTTGAACATACATTGGCTGGGAACGCTATCCCCACGACAGTCCCTCTACACCCGTGATCAAAGGCAACATAGCACGGCATATGCCACATAGCAACCAACAGCACAAACATGTTTCATTCTCCGCGGTAGAGTCTTGTACAGACGCTCGCCTAGCACATCAATTGTTGAATTCACACGCAAACGGCTATGCTGGTGAGTACAAACAAGCAAACATACATATGTGTCATATGTGTAGGCCGAGTTTCGGATGATTTACCTTAAGGGTCCATGTACGCAAATAGTATACGTTTACTTTGGCCTTAAAGTAATCCCTATATGGGTACTTATATGGGTACTTTGGGGCCAATGTGCGCAAGCGTCTCGTCATCCCAACCTCGACCCCGAATCGTAGCAACTAAAGCGGTTGATGCCTTTTGTTCCTTGTGTAGTTAGGGTTTAGGGTTTAGGGTTTCCTAAATGTGACCCTTGCCCTCAAAGGACACATAGCTTAAGGCTTTTGGACCCAAAGCCCCTGTTATGTAAGGCTCTTCGGCTATTTGGATGCTACGCGTAAGGTAGGCATTCCAAGAACTGTGCTGAAACTGCCAGGTCGGGGTACGTGTGCGCCGAACCTCTTTACAACGGCAGGAACTGCCTTTACCCTAAGGGTCCATGTACCCAAATACTATATACTTTTGCCTTAAAGTAGTCTCTATATAGGTACTTTGGGGCCAATGTATATACCATATGAGTACATGGACCCTTAGGGTTAGGTAGTTTTGGCCCTAAACCCTCAACCCTAAACCCTAAACCCTAAACCCTAGTTTTGGCCCTGCGAAATATTCGCTGAGATTTCTGAACTTTGCCCAGCACTCTGAGGACCTATCGTCTCCACTGTAGTTCCTTTTTGGGGTTTAACGGTTTCTATGTTACGGATCCTAAAAGGTAGCCCCAAGAAGGAACTACGCTGGATACTATGGGTAGGGCATAGGGATCATGGCCGGCGACGACGACTGAAGGTGCTGCTGCCCTTCCTTCCCTGTCTTAAAGCTTCAAAGATGATGTCAACATACTACGTAAGCATGTTTTGTGGTGTTGTTTTTTCGAAGCCGTAATTGTTAGTCTCTCTTCTCTCCGAACTCACCCCCAGACCCTACATGGCCCCTAAACCCCTAGACGGAGGTCAGCATCGGCAACCTTCTGGACTATGTGCCTGACATCAAGCCGCGCTTGTCAGCTGGCTGGAATGTTTAGGGTGATTTAGGGTTTAGGGGTTTAGGGTTTAGGGTTTAGGGTTGGGGTGCAGGGTTTAGGGCTTAGGGTTTAAATGTTTCCGCAGACACCTCTAGAAGAGTGCATACTTACTTTGATTGGGTTCCACGGTCGATGATATAAATCTTGCATTACTACCCGTAAAAAAAGAATGTACCATAATCCCATAGTTCAGGGTCCTTGAGGTAATGCAGGATATTTATTTTTATAACTATACATATATATATATATATTTATTTATTTATATTTATATACATATCATTATCAACAGTAGTTCCAGGCCGCAGCCCCGAACCCCATTCCGTGGTGGGAGCCAGAAAACGCACAGACTCAGTTACATGGCGCTATCCAAGGCCTATAGGCCGAGGCCTTAACCCCCAAAAATCCCTTAAATCCTAAGCCACTATTACTGACCCCTAGTGAGGGTCCATGGACCCAAATAGCCTATACTTCGGCCTTAAAGTAGTCCCTATATAGGTACTTCGGGGCCAATGTATATACTATATGAGCACATGGAACCTTACGGGACTGCTGTGGCTGCATCGACATTATCAGTGCTGCCACAACCATACAAGATTCAAGACTTCAAGAATAGTATCAATGTGATACGTCACATAGCCTAAGCCCGAAACCGGCAGCCCCTAAACTCCAATCTCCAAGTCCCACGATTTGCAGCTCTTTGCTTTCCGGGCACCGTAATTAGAGGTGTTCAGACTTCCGCACCCCGAAAGAAATCCGTGTATCTACAAAAGTTGAGGTTACTAAAACGATTCTGTCTAGAGAGCGGCCATGAGGTTTTAGGAGGTAATAAGGGTCAATGCAATCACATAGTCGTATGGGCTTGGGGTACATGGACCAAGGGGCGCAGGGCTGGGTATATTGATTACGGCTTTAGGGTGCGGGGCTTAGCGGTTGGGTACATTCCTGAGCTGATAGTTTGTTTGTTTTGAACTCCCTAAACTTAAACTATTCTCATATGGATTTCATACATGTCTCGTGCGTATTCTAGCGGCCACAGCAGACTTATTAGGGGCTTGTAGTTCAGAATCGTGTTAGGGCTTCACCCGCTTTGGCTTTATGGTGTTTGGGGCTTACGCACGAAGTTGCTGGGCCTGAGAAACTACAAAAAGTCTCCATTGCAATTCCTTTTTTAATCCGTTATATGTTAAGACTCCTTCAAGGTAGCCCCCAAAACGGAACTACAATGCAGACTAGGTAGGGTTTAAGGCATCTGCGCTCAAGCTTTGACTGTCTAAGTACGGTAGGGGCCGTAACAATAGTTAGAATAGGGTTTTGGGGGGCTCCTTTGTAGAATCATAGTATTATATACCCCAGAACCCTATTCTAACTATTAAGGCCTCTATATTACGGTCCAGGGTTCACTATAGTCAGAGCCCAAGGCTTGGCTTGGGAGTCTGCATTAGGGGGACCCTTTCTGGGATATAGACCCTCTCAGCATGTTTAGGGTTTAGAGTTGAGGGTTTAGGGTTTAGGGCTTAGGGTTCAGGGCCCGAAAGTTGGAACATGAGTATCCTCATGCCCTTCAGGGTAAGGTACAAGGGATCCACTCCCGAATCCTCCTAAGCCCATGTTCCAACTTTCTGGCTTCTACTATAAGAGATCCAGAAGTGGGAGTTTCCGAAATAGGGGACCCTAATATAGTACCCTAAGTAGTAGGACCCTTATTAGAAGGACCCCAGAATAAGGTACCCTAATTTGTGGAAACTCCCAAGTAGGGTTTTGAAGGGTCCCTTTAAGGGGTCTCACTAGTAATTCTACCCAAAGGGTCGGTTCGAAACTTGCTTTTTCTGGTTCGGGGTTTAGGGTTAACCTATCACCCCAAAGCCCCAAGCCTTAAAACCCCCAACACGCAGAAGAAAACCCTCGAACACATAGTCCTACAGTTTCCGATTCCCTTCGAGTATTTTCAGCGTTCAAGGTCTCCTCGAATCACGAAGACTGGGGTCGAGATTTGGGGTCTACAGTTTAGGGTCTTGGGTCTTATAGGGCCTTTAAGGATGTTCGGGTTTACTGTTTGGGGTCTTGGGGGTCTTAGGGTTTTTGAGGAGTTTTGGGTTTAATGATTGGCGATTTAGATTTAGGAGTTATAGGCAAGCCCTAGCAGGTAGCTAAACCCCAAAACCCTAAACCCTCCCAACCCAAAGGGCTACTTAAACCCGTAAACCCTAAACCCTAAACCTCCATGTCGAAGCCTTTGCAGGTATTCTATCGCTTCGTCCTCGCGCATCTCAGCTCGCAGTGGCGCGAAGGGTTTAGGGTTAGGGTTTAGGGTTTAGGGTTGAGGGTTAGGGTTTAGGGTTTAGGGTTTAGGGTTGAGGGTTCGGGTTTAGGGTTTAGGGTTTAGGGTCGAGGGTTAGTGGCACGAGCCCATAAGTCCAACCTAAACCGTTTAGGGTTTGTAGGGCTTAAACCACTCGACCCAAGACCTAGAAACGGCTACTCCCAATAAATAGTCCAACCTGCACCCCAAAAAGTAGGTGAACCACATGCCCACCGCATGAAACCAGGTTCCCCAAATCCATAATTAGTAAGGATGGTCTTGGTGGATCCCAGTTCCATAATCCCAAAGGGTCCACGATATAGTATAGCATACACTTTGGGCCCCAAATACCTACAAAGTAGCAACCATATTCGTACTTGGACCCTTTGGGAATCGTAGAAAATCTGGAGGAATGTAAGGTCGGGGACGTTTGCGCACTAAACTGAGACTGAGGCCTCCGTGGCGACAACGTCTGCCACCTGTGCATCATCAGGAATGACTGGGCTGCGGCTAGTGGGAGGCTGTCATGGCCGGTTCTTGTGAACTCATCTTGCTTACATTCTCAGTTCTTCCTGCAAGTATTACTCTTATCATCTTTAAGCCCTAAGCCCTGAACCATATGAGTAATGATATTATGGTCAGTTCCATGTGAGATGAGCCCTAAACCCTAAACCTATTATACGCTTAAGCCTTAAAGGGCCCCTAGAGACTCCCAAAGCTTCAGGGCCCTAAACCGACACTCCCCGAGCCCAAATGTAGGGGCCGGAATAATAAAAAGATACTATTTTGGCAGTTCCTTCTTGTGGTTCTATATAGCAAAAATATACCCCAAAATATTTTTGGGGGTTCCTGATTATCTAGTATAATATACCCCAAGGCCTTACTCTAACTATTAAGGCCGCTATAGTAAATAGGTCACAGGTGGAGCTACAGGTACAGCACTCCACCCCCCCCCCCCGCCCCGACTAAGGGACTTACAACCCGGCTTATAGCTCGATTCTCAGGCTATCCCTCATGGCATGGCTCAACCCAAGCAAACCCTGAACCCTAGAACCTGAAACCCAAGTACTCCCAAACATTAAACCCTAAACCCT